CCAACGGTGGTTTTGATCCATATGCCAGAACAGAAAGCATGACGAACCGTGGCCGCTACAGCTATGCTAGTAGTGCTATTAGCACGGTCAACAGTCCTCGTCGTGTTCGCAGACGAAAGGACCCGACGCCTTTGAAGTGAGTTTCTAGTCAATATAATTCATTTGTTTATTAGCCGTGTGCTAACCCCAAAACCAGCATTCTCGTCATTGGTACTCGTAACTCTGGAAAAACATCCTTTCTCGAGTTTCTCAAAACAGCGCTCGCTCTTCCACCCAAGAAACGAGCCAAGAAGGGTGATGACGAAGTGCCGCAGAATCGCAACACCCCCTCTGGAAACTTTATTCCACACTACCTTGAAACTGAGATTGACGGGGAGCGTGTTGGTCTCACCATCTGGGACTCAGAAGGCCTAGAGAAGAATGTAGTCGACCTTCAACTTAGGGAAATGTCCGCATTTCTTGAAAGCAAGTTTGAGGAAACCTTTGCAGAGGAAATGAAGGTTGTACGCTCCCCTGGTGTGCAAGACACCCACATCCATGCCACCTTCCTTGTACTTGATCCTTCTCGATTGGATCGCAACATTGCATCCGCGAGAAACCCAGCTATCAATGGTCAGCAAAACGGACACCTTGGTGCGCGTGTATTAGGGAGTCTGGATGAAGACCTTGATTTGCAGGTTCTGCGTACGCTCCAGGGCAAGACTACTGTGATTCCAGTCATTGCCAAGGCCGATACTATTACCACCAAGCATATGAATGTTCTCAAACGAAGCGTTTGGGACAGCATCAAGAAATCGGGCCTAGATCCCTTGGAGGCACTTGGCCTTGATGATGAGGATGAGAGTAGCATCACTTCCGAAAGGATTGCCGAAGAGGACGAGGAGGAAGATGAGGCCGCACACGAACGCGGTGGTGCTCAAACCCCCGAGAGCCAGGAATTCCCACTACAGGGTCATCGAGAAAGCGCAGCCGCTTCTCCAAGCTCCAAGAGACTATCCACCAGCTCCATTCGACGACATAAAGCACAAGAAGAGGCCAAAGAAAAGGAAGATGAGATCCCTTTCCTCCCACTTTCCATCATCAGCCCTGATCTGTACGAGCCAGGTGTTATTGGCCGACAGTTCCCGTGGGGTTTTGCTGATCCTTACAATGATGAACATTGTGACTTTCAACGTCTGAAAGAGGCTGTTTTCAGCGAATGGCGTGCCGAGCTACGTGAAGCTAGTCGGGAACAGTGGTACGAGGGATGGAGAACGAACCGACTCAAGCAGAGGGATGTCCCCTACCGTCATCGATGAATGCTGTTCATTGAAGACAGCACATAACCACGCGGGATTGACACGCCCTTCATACGATCAGATGACACTCTGTCACTAAACCATGTCTTTGCTTGACACGACATGGATCCAGACGCTCTTACTGCGACCATCTTTCTTTGCTCACATTACTTTAACGCTATACCATTTCCCGGAAAACTGCAGCATACCCTTTGTCATCTTGTTATAACATTTCTGAACTCGCGAGGAAGATTACTGTTTTATACAGATAAGAATTGCTTCAACTCGCCTTTACGGCTGATACCCATTTATTGAGACACCCGACTGTTTCTATCGCTCGGCTTTTGATTTTTAGACCAACGGACGAGCTAGCCTCGCAAGGTTTTATCGACTGCTCATGATATGTCCTTCACTTCTTTTCTCTCTCTTTTCACAAACATTCTCAGACACTGGCGTTTGTGGCATTGGTTTTGAAATGAGAGGTCTGTATGGGCGTCTTATGGCACCGCCTCACAAACCGTACCCTTCTTGACATCACTATACCGGCGATTCTTGCTGTTGTCTGGACTGAGAGCACGACTAGCTTACGAGCACCATTTCTGAGGGGACAAAGCACAATAGCTATGCCGCCAGCCATTGCGAAGAGCCTGGGCAAGAATGATGATATATGTAGCTGGCTCTGTAGACTCTAAGGTGTCGGAGGAGATTGCCCTTTCTTTAGTCAGCTTATTTTACTAGAAATCCATTACGCAACTCGTGCTTTCAACTATGAATTGACTTACGAATGCCATGTAGTTTTGACTAGGACTTGTGAATGTACACCATAGCGGGGAGCAAGGACTTGTCTCCCCTGAATTAGAATTCGCGGGATGCGATATGGCCGCCGTAAATATACTGTAAAGCATAACGCCGATGAAGAATTGTACATGATTATGACCACTCGCTGAATTTACACATTTCCTGTATCTATGCCACCCAGTGTTAAAATGGCGTGAATTCTGCAAGCTCAGTGTTAATGGGATTGTTATCGTCATCAACATCCGCCTCTTTACGAAACGGATTCTTCCCAACTCCTTTGATCTTTGCAATTTCTTTATTGCTCAGCGCTACGCCGTCAAAATTCGGAGGCAATAGCATGTCAATCATGAGAATATCCGTCTTGAGGTTTCGAGCACGGTCGCGGTACGCCTGCTGATTGCGCGGGTATTCAAAACGCTCCCTCATGGTTTCAATGGACGACCAACGGACACCGTATTCTTGGATAAGATCTAAAAGGACCTGGGAGTCGTGCTCACTCCAAGGGACGCGCTGTCGTGGTCCTTGTCGCTCTGGATCTGCCATACGAACCTCCTTTTTCCTTTGTGATGCGGCCTTTGCGATAGCGTTGAAAGGTCTGGAGGACAATGGTGCCTGCGACACTGAACGTAACCCCATATCCTGCGATGACTTCTCCATAGAAAGAGGGTGTACGGGCCCTGAAGAAAATGAAGACTCAGAAACATGCCTTTGAGGACGCCGCGGGACAGGTTGTGGCCTTGGAGGGGGCGGCATCTGTCGTTGTAGCTCATCTCGCCTCGCTGGATCAACACGCCGAGTGTCGGTCTCAAATGCATCTTCCCCATCTTCGTCGTCCTGGGAAAGTCGTGGTCGTTTCTGCCCTCTTTCCCGTTCCCTCCCGCCTTGCGTAGCTAAACGATAAGAACTTGCGGGGGGAAATGGGCTACCGCCCAGGAGGTCGGCATTCGAATCTTCATGATAATCACGGGGAACTTCGGGTCTGGAACCTGCAAGTTGTTGGTTGGAAGGGGGAACAGTACTGGCTGCTCGACTTCCACCACGCAAGGCTTGAATGGACTTTGGCCCAACAAACAAACTGGGCCTGCTGGGGGGTCAATATGTAACTCTGTTACCAGGTAAGAATAGTACTTACTCTGCCTCCTGACTTCCCACACGCACGATTGATTGTGACTCCGAACCGTAATCATTACCTTGCCTGTAGGTGGCCTCTTGTTGGCCATGTTGAGAAGGTTCGGTACCCGCCCTCACACTCTCTTCGTACGTCAAAACATTGTATAAGCTCTTAAAGCACTCTAAGAGATCTTCCACCAAATTCCGTAGGGGGAAATGCTTTCTTAGCTGAGAGATTCCCCCATCCTCCTTGTTATCGTCGATGATCTTCTTGATCTGAGCGATCCGTCCTGAGCAGAGATCATCAACATCGTGATCGACACCTTCATCACCGCCGAGGTCTTTGAAGTAACCCCCAGAAAAAAGTTGTGGATATGAAGGAAGCCCCCCCTCTCCCTTGTGTCCCGATCTGTCCAAATCCTTCAAAACCTCTTCGTCTTTGCAGAAATAAGAGACAAGAAGCTCTCGAAAGTCCTTTTCGTCCCTGTGATGAGAAAGATCCTCGACAAATAACCAGGTCCGGAGGTGTAATGTGCTCTGAGGGCTTTGGAACATATTATCAGCTGGGGTAAAATATGCAGGCAAAACCCGGTTGAGGCATTCGAGAAATGGGAAGATGGCTGATGTCTCCTCATTCTCAAGCCCGTAAAGCGTGTCGTAAGCTGTCACAACATTGGTGCGTGCGATCTGAGTCACCCTGACGCTTTGGTTTTGAGTGGGAGTGTCATCCACGAAGTGCGCGAAATCAATGAACGGTGCCGTGTTAGACTGATCAAGTGCATCATATTCTCCTCTGATGGTGTGAAAAGCACGTCGCTTGATAGCCAAGATTCCAGTGAAGACATCGTCAGCTTCATTTCCTTGAAAGCATTCAAACAGGCTATCGGCAGCTCTTGCTAAGTCTGGAACGCTCAGCTCCAGGATCCTTTGCTGTGCTGTGGTGGTTACTGGACCAAGTCGAAGTTCTTCGATGGGGCTGTTGATGTCCTCAGGTTCTTCGCCGGAGTCTTCCGGTTGCGAATAATTATACTCATCATAGAATTCGGTTTCATCGTCAGGCTTTAGTGGAATCGACGGGATGCTAATGTCGTCTCGAGCCTGAGGAGGTGGGTTACGGCGAGCGACCGGATCGTTCAGTAGAACCCTGAGAGGTTCAGGTGCGGGCTGGCTAACAATATTCTTTGTTGGGCTTGTTACACGCTGAACTGGGTCGTTTCTTCGGTTGCTACGCCTTAGTTCGCGATTTTCATTCTGAGCAGATGCACGCTCTGAGCGCCCTGCAGCACTTCGAGTATTCATTATTTCGTGAAGGCTTATGGATGTGTATGCGTAAGGTTGAGCCTAGGTAGCGCCAAAACGCGCTGTTGTGATGATTGACCCTAACCCTAACCCGAAGGTAACACGAAGACATCTAACGCGTCCCTGGACCGAACTCTTGGTGTTGAGAGCTTTGACCACTCTCACAAGCCACCCCGGACGCTAAATCACGGGAGATGGAGATGTTAGCCTTCACTGTAGCAGCCTGTAAGGCAACCTTACCGAAAGTGGTACATTCTTGCATGTAGCGAGGTACTGAGTACCTATGTACCTTTAAGGTCTAATCTTCTCTTCTTCTATGCGTACAATCACACTGCAACTTATGGCTCTCTCATAAATCTATGGGCTATGACGAAGAGAGGATATAAATCCACCGGACCTGTATTAGCGATGTCTTCCAAGTAGCTGTTTCACTCCCAAATCCTAATTTGAGAATCATCAGCCATGGCTATTCTGTCGTCGATGTCGCCTCAAAATAGTTTTTTTGCATCATGACTATTAGGCGGTCTTGACGGATTTGTTGACGTGATCAGGTCCAAAGAAGCCCGTGAGATAGGCTGTTCGCGTGAAGAAAAGGAATAACTAAGCCAAGGGTCAGCGCCAACCACAAGGCTGGAGATGATATGACAGCATCTGATCCTCTTCTTGGCTTACCGTCATTCCAACATTTCCCCAAGTCATGGCATTCCACTGGAGAGGGCTTAGCAACCTATCCCGGCCTATCCCATAAGAGCTGAAGCCAACATGACCAATATCTGCGAGCCAAAGAGCAATGAGATATGAGCGAACAACTCGGTTTTCAGTCGTGGTTGACAGGATCGCGACCCCAATGAATGCTAGCAGCAAATACAAATTCCCTAGCTGCCAGGCTATAACAATGCTATTGGGAGAAGCATCACCGTCGTTCTTCTGGGGAGATTGTTCTCCGATGAACCAAGCTGGATCAATGACGGCACCAGCAAAACCAACAACTCTGGTTTTGATGTTAGCAGATGTGCCATTTACGGGTCGGGCGCAAGATCCCTGTCATGAAATCTTACAAAGAGATAGGCTCTATAATAGTGAATACTATACGTGGGAAGGTGGGGAGAGAAGAAGCCATGATTATGAATATGAATTGATTGATTGTTGAACGGGCCAGTCACGTATGGCCAAGCAAAGCTGAAGAAATGAGGAGGGTACGTACACAAGATACCAAGTTTGATGTTCGTTTCCCCAGAGTCAAGCTCCAGTTTCAGATGCCGTCATCCAATGAGAACAACATTTTGAATCCCGGAAGTGCTCGGGATAGACCGGAGCGAGGCCGATATCGTTGATCCGTGAGGATCTCCGGCAAATAACCGGCCAGTATTTTGAACTTTTTTCCGTTTGACCAGTATTTCCGGAGTCTCAATAAAGTTGGCTGAGCCGTTAATATGTAGAATCTAACAACGCGATGAGACAAGTAGCTGGCCTTATCTTCTACTGTTTAAAACCCTTTTTGCAATCGTGCAACATCTCCGGCCCCCTGCCCCCGAAGAATCCTCCTACCACCTTCAGTCGAGCCAAGTCGATTTCAATTGGCTTGCTGGGGAAGCAAGAAAACATCATACGTTGATGTGGGTGTCAAAATAAGCTCAGTAAACCGCATCCTAAGTTTCCTGCTATATAACCTACGTCTTTTTGTCACTTAGGATCAAGGCCCCGACTTTTCTTTCCCCTCCTAGTTGTCGCTTTAGTGCTGTTGTGCCCCTCGCCAATGACAAGCTTCAACATGTGGCGATTTCACGTGCTACCGCAACTGAGAGACAGAGAGCCCAAGTGAGACCATATCAAAGCGTTCACGGCCCCAACTCTTATGAACCAGCTCCCCAAACTTGTAGTCAACATGGTGTTCTGAGCTGTTGCATCTTGCCAACGGCATATGCTGCTTCCCCTCCCCTCTTTATATTTCACCCTCCCCTGGCGAATACCGCATTCAATCGTAACTATCTGTTTCTTAAATTGACTTTAACTCATGCTCAATGTGCCAACCCACCTTTGAGAGCCCACGATGGCCACGATCGAGCCACGCTTAATTCATCTGCTCAACGAGCCAACGAGACCGCAACTCAACCATGCCGATCTTCCACCGCTTCATTCCCTTGCATTCCCTTCTGCCACTGATCGATCATTGGCCCCAATCGAGTCCGACACGAATCAGTATGGTGATAGACCACTTGCTGACACGCAGTCTGTTATTAACGCCGTTGATTTAATAAATTTGACCAACGATGATATTTCTTCAGAACCCCGCAAGGAAGGGAATGTTCAGGATGGAAAGATTGTACCGGCTTCCGGAGGATTTCCGCTGCGAGTAGCTTCAAGCGACTCGGATGCTGTAGAACCAACCAGTTCAATAAGTCGGTTATTAGGTGACGGTCCCGAGCTTTTTGAAGACGTATCGAACAAAAAACGACATCGCAGCCTCCATGTTAAAGATGAGTTCATGCAGCTCCCACAACCACTGAAAAAGCAAAAAGCCGCTCAGCAAGCGCCAGTAATGCCACCGATCATCAATGGGCTTCACGAACCTCCACCTCACGCCGCTTTGTTTCCTCCTATATCGTCGGATTCGTTTGATAGCAAGGATGGCTCGCATATGAAGGCAATGCCCGATTTTATGCAGCCTTCCGTCCAGCCATCCACTCAAGCGTCTCAAGATGCTGAAGCGGTTTCGGTAGCTAGCAAAACGCGCAAGCGGACCAGCAAACCGAGACGGAAGTGGTCTGAAGAGGAGACAAACCATTTGTTATTGGGCGTCAATCGATATGGGGTCGGAAAGTGGACGAGCATACTTGAAGATACCGACTTCAAGTTTAACGACCGCACAGCTGGGGATCTCAAGGATCGGTTCAGGACGTGCTGCCCCGAGGAGCTCCGCAAGTCCAATCGACCGCTTGAACTAGACTCGCCTTCACGCTTCGATCGGGCGTCGAACCAGACGGGCAAAACAGATGTGCACTTTGAAAGGATATTGATGGATGGAAATAGTGCATCGGCAGAATACACGGCCTCAACGATGCAGCAAGAGGTTGACACTACTCCTAAACAGAAAAGAAGTCGAGCACATCGCAAGAAGATGAAGGATCTTGTGGAGCTCGGTATTCATGGGCCTTTCAAGAAGTCGCATCGCCGCGAACGTCGACCTTTTACTGAACAAGATGACATGGAAATTCTTAAGGGTTTGGAGATCCATGGGCCCGCTTGGACCAAGATTCATCGTGACCCGCGCTTCAATCTTTCCAGTCGCCAACCAACAGACTTGAGAGACCGAGTACGCAACAAATATTCCAGTGTTTATCAGCGAATAGAGAAAAGCAATCTCCAGGCCAGGGAGATGAGCCGGGGGAACGATGTTGTGGTACCGTCTATGAGAATACCAGCTGGGAATTTATTTGAACCTCGAAAGGCTACAACATTAGAGCCACAAATGAACCAGTCGACCTCGCGCGAAGACCTTTCTCGATGGCCAGCTCAGCAAAAAATCGAAACAGGTGACATTATGGGAGCAGGCCATGTTTTCGAGTTCGGTGAAACTATGCCACCTCAATTCATGGGTGGTGAGATGGACATCTCGCGCTTATTACTTGATGATGCCAAGCTTTCGCCAGCGATTCCACGATTTGGTATTGAGGGCATCCCTGGTCTTTCTCCACCAACAAATACCCCACAGAAAAGTCACATCAAAGAAGGAATGCAACACCCGAGTAGGTTATCAACAGTCGGGCCAGCATCTATAAGTCGCAGTTCTCTTCATTAATGTTATGAAAGTTAGAAGTCGGGAAATTGGTTTGCAATGGTATTCGGCGTACATAGATTGAAACTTGGAACTGGACGAACACACAGCACGCGCTGGTCATCGATCGCTTATTACTTGTATCTGATGGAATTGCTTGGCGCTGGAAGGAAAGGAAAACACGGGTGCCTCACCGGCAGAGATGGGAATGTTACAAAAGTTGTATATCGTTGAATTCTGTGAGCCGCTCATGACCTCCAAAAAGGATATCATATCTTGTCATGCTACCGCCGGCAAAGCTTGAGTTGAAAATGACTTCAGGGCACTCATCACGGGATACCATGCATAATTTTAATAATAAGATAGCAATAAAACCATTTGGTCGAAAGAGCTACCTACCTATGTGATGTTATCTCGAGACCTCTTCACAAACCCCACCGACCTCTAGCCCACTTATCTTATCTATCACGTGACCCACACACACAGTTTTTTTTTTTTTTTTTTCGAAAAAAAGGGCAAGAGCAATACAACTCGCCTTTTCTGAACTTGGTTTCCTCGTCCATCCTCCTCATCACCGCCGACAAACCAGCCAACCGATACAATGGCCCGTGGAATGTAAGTAGAACACCAACGATAACGATCACCAATGTGATTGCAAGAAATCGCGATTTGGATTTCTGTCTCCTGTCGTCCCGTTATGAGAACGAGGGTCTGACCGTCTCGATAGCAAGAAGCACCAGAAGCGCCTCAGCGCCCCCTCGCACTGGCTGCTTGACAAGCTGTCCGGCACCTACGCTCCCAAGCCTTCTGCCGGTCCTCACAAGCTCCGCGACTGCATGCCTTTGATCGTCTTCATCCGAAACCGCCTCAAGTATGCTCTCAACTACCGCGAGACCAAGGCCATCCTGATGCAGCGACTGGTCAAGGTCGACGGCAAGGTCCGCACCGATTCCACCTACCCCTCCGGTTTCATGGACGTTATCACCATCGAGAAGACTGGCGAGAACTTCCGTCTTGTCTACGATACCAAGGGCCGATTCACCGTCCACCGAATCCAGGCTGAGGAGGCTGAGTACAAGCTTGGCAAGGTCAAGCGTGTCCAGCTTGGTCGCGGTGGAATCCCATTCTTGGTCACGCACGATGCACGAACGTGAGTTCTGTCAGACATCATTCAGCCGTTGGATCAAGCTTTGGTCGATTCAAGTCACCCGACAAGACAGGAGCTTTATTTGACGGCTGTATGTACACCCTAAATACCCCATTGCTAACAAATTCTTACAGCATCCGCTACCCTGACCCTCTGATCAAGGTTAACGACACTGTTAAGATTGACCTCGCCACTGGCAAGATCACAGACTTCATCAAGTTCGACACTGGCGCCGTCGTCATGGTCACTGGTGGTCGTAACATGGGTCGTGTTGGTGTTATCACTCACCGTGAGCGCCACGACGGAGGCTTCAACATCGTCCACGTCAAGGATGCCATTGACAACAGTTTTGCTACCCGTGAGAGCAACGTTTTCGTCATTGGCCAGGACAAGCCCTGGATCTCTCTGCCCAAGGGTAAGGGTGTCAAGCTCACCATTGCTGAGGAGCGTGACCGCCGACGTGCTTACGCTATCTCTCACTAAATTGTGGATTTGAGATTGGAATGGTAAAAAAACGGCATGTGGAATGGAGTCTCGGATTTGACGTTTGCTTTGCGGCTTTTACTACTCTGGAGATAGCCGGCCCCATGAGGCTACGATAAAAGATGAATTTGAGCCCAACAAAAGTGTCGATTCTTGACAGATATCTCTCTCGAACCGTGACAGTGAATTGAAGATGTCGCCCACAATGTTCAGCTACGCCAGAGAAAATGCCCCTGCCATTTGTACTTCCCATAACTGATAATATATCTTATCACTCTGCCAGTACCCATATACGTAGCTCGTGTTTCTTTCGAACATCATGTTTGTCAAGGAGTAATGTGAGGAACAAAGCTGACTGGTAGGGCTGCATTGCACAACAATTTACGATCAAGGTAATGACGAAAACAGCCTGTATACAAAAGTGCTCCTGGGTTACATCCATGATTATCAGACTATCAGTTGACCTCCTAATGCGTAAAGCTGTGGCTGTGTTGCAATCTTGCTGACAGAAGAGAGAATTCGGATGTAGGCGAATTCCTATTCCTTAACCACCCCACGTCCATGAGAATGTTGGTTGTTTGCGAATGACTTGTCTCTCGAATTGAGTTTCTTCGTTTATTCCCCAACTTCTCCATTGAGCTAGTTGCTCCATCCCACTGAAGGAAGCTCTTGAACCCCCAAACTGCGAATAGCACCAAGTGGGCTCGGCTTCTTTGCCCCTCTCCACACTCCCACGGTACATGCTGTATGCTGTGAAACTGCTGGTTCGGCGAGCAAACCGAGTCATTTAGGAGCGGGGAAATGATCAATCCGTCGTAAATCTAGGGTACCGAGTCGTGTAATTACGCATGAGGTCAAAATGCATGACTAACGAGAACTGCAGTCGCCTGCCGAATCCTCCTCAGCCATGATGCAGTTGGCTGCACTCCTTGAAGCTGCGATTCGACAATGCGAGTCTCACGCGCGCTGTTCCTGTGATGTGCATGTGGGCGTAATGCGTGGGGAGCCTCAAACCATCCATGGATTCAATGCGACTGGATTTCTTGTTACAGTAAGACCGCACACGCACAAGGTCCATTAAAGATGGATCGTGTGCCCCCTCACCATTACCTAGACAGACCCGCTAGGCTTAACATGCTATGGGAAAAAGCCATGCTAAGACCCAGCGGCAACGCGGTGCCCAAGTGTATTGCATCAGCGACACTATGCTTACAAGAGAAGCCGTTGGTGTTTAGATTTCTACTTTCCTAGATATGCCCCACGTGCGCCGGTGGTGTTCTTGAGACTACTTATAAGTGAGTGTCAGCCCCATCGTGACCACATCTACCTAGTTCCGGAATTATCCTCTGCGAGGTCATTTCTCCTGGTCGCTTGAATTGGAGGATTCTTGTCGTTCTTCCCTCTTCTCACCTGCTTGCGGATACTCGGTACAGATTCGCTTAGATGCGGCAGAGGTTCCTGTTCGTGATCAAAACGTTGCTCGCAAGAGCCATATTACGCAACGGACTCGTTGAATTTTGTTAACTGGAGGGAAAGCAGCAGCCTTCGGGCCCTGAATCGATCTTGGTTCTACATCGGTCAATTGTGGACCGGGCCGCCTGAGTCATAAAATTATAGATTTCCTTAACATTCGGTTGAAATGTTTACCAGCAGGACTTCGACAAGAACTCTCTTGGGCCGTTGTGCCCAGAGAACGGAATTTCGGCGAGGTCTTGCAGTCTCCCCTGGCCTTCGTTCCCGTGTTGCCCATGATTCTGCTCAGAGTAAACCAAAGAATAGCCAGGGATGGTCGCGACCAAAGGTTTTGGCAGTAGCCATTGGAGCTGGTGCTCTTGGATGGGGGCTTGCCGGCTTGAACGAAAGTAAAGGCACTGGAAAATCTATATGGGGTCGATCGATAGCGCCTCATTACGCTACGTTGCCCGAGATGGAGAAGGTAAAATACCTGCATATTCTCATGCCCTCAGACTGATCTTCGAAACAGGCGATCAAGCGAATCGAGAATGAGGTTGGAATAGAAGGCTTTATTTCGACTGACCCCGAGGATCTACTCGCACATGGCTACTCAGAATGGTCTACGGTCAACCCTGATACTTTGCCGGTAGCTGTGGCATATCCTAGAACAACCGAGCAAGTTTCCGTGATCGCTCGCATATGTCATGAGCATCGCGTTCCCATCATCCCCTATTCAGGAGGCTCAAGCTTGGAAGGCAATTTTTCTGCCCCTTATGGAGGAATCAGTGTGGATTTTGCGTATATGGACCAGATCATTCAGTTCAACAAAGATGATATGGATATTGTGGTCCAGCCCAGTATTGGCTGGCAAGATCTAAACGCAAAGTTGTTGGCTATGGATAGTGGCCTTTTCTTTCCCGTCGATCCTGGTATGTGACTAACAAGCATGGGGGGCCAGAGATATCGCAGCACTGACGAATATACCCAGGCCCATCAGCGAAGATTGGAGGCATGATTGGAACGAATTGCTCCGGGACAAATGCTGTAAGATATGGCACAATGAAGGATTGGGTCATTAACTTGACCGTTGTCCTGTCTGACGGGCGTATTATCAAAACCAGACGAAGGCCGCGAAAGTCATCTGCTGGATACAACCTGAACGGATTGTTTGTTGGTTCCGAAGGCACACTAGGGATTGTCACGGAAGGTATAACAAGGCGTATCCACGCAAAAATGAACGCTTTACTAACACTCACAGCTACACTCAAGCTGGCTGTCATTCCAGAGCAGTATTCGGTTGCTGTTGTTACATTTCCCACCATTCGAGATGCCGCCGATGCGGCAGCTGGCGTCATGCAGGCCGGCGTTCCCGTCGCGGCGATGGAGATCATGGATGAAGTTCAAATGCGAGTTATCAATCTCGGTGGTGCTACGAAACCGCGGGTCTGGAAGGAATTGCCAACACTGTTTTTCAAGTTCTCGGGTACAAAAGACGGCGTGAAAGACAACATCAGCAGAGTAAAGAAAATTGCGGCGGCAAACAAGGGTGGAAGTTTCGAATTTGCTCGGGATGCTGCTGAGCAACAGTTGCTCTGGTCTGCCAGGAAAGAGTCCCTTTGGTCTATGCTATCTCTGCGAAAAAATGGTGACGATGTTTGTGAGTACCACAGTGCCGCTTTCAACATATTACCCGTCAATCCGGTCGCTAATTGATGATAACACAGGGAGCACCGATGTAGCTGTTCCGTTCAGCCGGCTAGCTGATATCATAGAGGTCAGCAAGAAAGAGATGGATGAGCTTGGTCTCTTCGCCAGCATCTTGGGGCATGTAGGAGACGGAAATTTTCATGAAAGTATCATGTATAACAAGAACGTCCCTGGTGAGCGCCAAAAAGTCGAAGCTTGCGTCAAGAACATGGTGAAGCGAGCGCTAGACATG